AGATCCCACATGCCACGGAGCAACTAAGCCCGTGCGCCTCAATTACTGAGCCTGCGCTCTAGAGCCCGCGAGCCACAACTATAAGCCTGCGTGCTGTAACTACTGAAGCCCGCGTGCCTAGAGCCCGTGCTCAGCAACAAGAGAAACCACCACAATGAGAAGCCCGCGCGCCAAAACCAAGAGTTGCCCCCGCTCACAGCAACTAGAGAAAGCCCGCGGGCAGCAATGAGGACCCAATGCAGCCAAAAATAAAATAAATTTAATAAATTTTAAAAAATAGTTAAAAAAAAAACTCTGTCATTCATCCCTTCAGTATGAATTTTTCCAGAAGGTTCACATTAAAAAAAAAGTGAAACCTAAACCAACCAAATTCTTTAGGCTGTTTTTCTGTATGAATCATCTTTTTGTAAAGAGGTGTAAGACTGGTTTTGTTGCCAACTCTGCCCCCTCTTCTACAGACAGAACTGTAGTGATTAGGTTCCTGCATTTATTTAGGTTATTCTCCTAAAAAACATGGTTTCCATACTGCAAATAAATGATAGGAACTTTTCCACCTAATTACCCCAGACAACACAAATGTTCTTTCCAAAAGTGGAGACTGGAACCACAAGCCCCCTCACATTGCCTGTTACATCTGTTTATGCTCATAGAAGTGACATCCATGTCGTAGACAGGGAATGCCAATTTCTTGGGAAAGCACCCAGAATTTGGTGAGGCTTGAAGAAAAAATTCCACTGTTCAAAGTAAGAGATACATAGAATTGAGCAGCTACAAAGCTCTTTTCAAATTAAGCAAGAAAAGATTTTGCTTCCAGAGTATAAATTCTGTGTATAGACTTGCCGGAGTTCGTATGCAGCCATAATCTTTTACTAGCGATAAAGCTGTAGGTAAGTTACAAAACCTAAACCTCAGTTTTCCCATCTATAAAATGTAGATAATAATAGCTCTGTTGGAAAAAACTCCTGTAAGACTTTGAAATGGGTAAAAGATTATTGAGTGTCCTTTTCAGTGGAATGCTGGATGTTATCTAAAGGACTCTGGGGTTTCATGGCTCTACAGTAGTTTGCACCTTTGCCTGCCTTTGACTTTTTACGACTCTATAAGCCCTAGAAACTTAACGATACTGTAAATAGTTCTTATCTATACATATGCAAAATTATTTTGTTCCTTACAGATACAGTTGATCACTGCCCTGTATAGGAGATAATTCAAAATATTACATTTTAGTGCCTTATTAACCAGTTTTGCCTCTTTTCTTATTTTCCATAAAGCTTTGCTCTTCACATTCTCATTTGGATGGGTTGCAATATTTTGGTGTTCCCTCCCTAACTGATGAGTCAAATAACATTTTTGACACAGCTTCATTTTACATTTCTGTTAGAGTATATTTTTACCTTCTTGAAAAATTATCCTTAAAAGTTTCTACTCCACAGTTTTTTTGAGAGTTGGTTTAAAGGTCTATATTGACGGTTATGATTGGTTTTATATTTTGCAGTAAGGCTGTAACACTTCCGAAATTTTTGATGGGAAAGGAGGGGGTAACTGAGCATTTATAAAAGGGGAGTGTGAAAAGCTCTTTCCTGATAAGGAAGTCAGAAGATTTCCTCACCTCTTTCCTTTTAGCAGCGGAAGGTCAAGGTGGGTATTAGGCGAAGCACAGTGGCCTAAGCGGAGGAGTGGAGGCCACTCTGGATCTGGGCCTAGGTGCCGGCCTTCCCTGCCAGGAGCCTGGCCCAGGGTTTTGGATGCCCTGGGGTCACGGAGTTAACTGCAGACTTCGTGGGGCCCCAGCAACAGACAGCCCAAGAACCCAGTTCTCGCGAAACCAGGACCCGAGCTTAAGGGCAGGATTTGCCCCAGGCCCGAGGGGCCCCTCGCCCACGGCCGAGGGGGTGGGGCGGCCTCGCCTCGGGCCGGTGCTTTTCGCCCTCCGTTGGCCGCCAGAGGCTCCCTCTCTCTCCCTCTCCTGGGATTTTGCTGCCGGGCTCCCTCTCTCTGCGGCCCTAGAGTTAATCCCATCAGCCGAGGTGAGGCACCTGTTACCCCGGGCCTTCCTCACCCCCGCGTCCTCTCCCCCATTACACCCCCGCTACGCCGCCAGCCAAACGGCCCGGCGCGGGCGGCCGCACGTGGGCGAAGCCCCTGCCCGGTCTGGGACCCCCTCCCCAGGTCGGCCCGAGTGTGCGAGTGCGTCGGGGCCCGGGCCGCCGCCCGCCCGCAATGGCGTTAGGGAGAGCAGCGCGCCTCCCGGGGCCGCCCGCCGCGGGCCGGGCG